CAAAAATTTCAACCCTGATACAACAAATAGTATTAGTACTGAATGATAATGACAGATTGCATTCCCATAAACGTCCAATCATACATGATTGAGTTTTTTTTTTGCATTCACATTCTCTATGTGAATGGGTATCAACCATTCCATAACACACTACATATTTTGTGTTTGCAATTTGTAACCAATCTCAAGAGTGGTTGTTAAATTTTTTAAATCAAACAATCACATTTTTTAAACGAAAAAAATGAGAATGCACACTCAATTGATTCAATCATTACACAGCTCTGGTAGGTATGAATATCTATTGAGAAAAGGTTTGGACGAATCTGCTGTGGTTAGGTACAAAGAAAAATCTTAATCATCCTTAACTACCGGAAAATCCCATATTCTTCATACCTTTTAAATATTGTGCTAGTAGGTATGCAAATCTTATACTCAAAATTCTGCAAAGCTATTAATAAAGAGTTTGGATGCACAAAATCGAGTACCTGCTGTGTTAGACTACGAAAAATCTTAATCATCCTTAACTACGGGAATGGCAGTATCGAGGGTATGAAACTTTGGTTAGGCGTGTTATATACCGTTGGAAAGGTAATTGTATATACCTTCTCATATAAGTTTTATTTTCAGGTTTCCGAGACACTTACACAATAATACGAAAAAAAGAAGACAATAGGTCATATATTAAAAATTAAAAAAACCGCTGTTTCGTTTTTCGCTGCAGTTTTGTTTTTTTTTTCATTTTTGCTTGCTTTTGATGGATCGAACGTATGTACATTTCATTATATTTTGACATTCTAGGTTTCTCAACGGACAACAAAATACATGGCAGGGTTGTGTTTGCTCTACTATTATTACCTGTTTAACATGCCTAGCTGGAAGCCAGGTTTTTAGTGACAGCTTAAACTTAGATTACGTAAACTGCGTTCATATTGAGCAGTTGGCTGGAATTTGATTGGCTAATCTTAGTTTAAACTAGCCCGCACGAGCGTTTGAATTAAGTTTATGGCCCTATTATGTATGGCGACTGGGGTACAGTTGCTGGTCTAGTAGCCATGGCTGCCAGTATCGTAATTTGTATTATGTGTGGCGATTAATCTCAGTATACAGAAAAGCGCAGAAAACATCCCTGTGTTTAATTTTTTTACAAGTACATTTTGAAGTAATCGCAACTTTGTTCAAATGTGTATGTGTGCAAATAACAATTTGAAAAATGGTAAACTTTGCCGTATAAACGCTGAGTTAATTTTTTATTTGCAAATAACTAAATCACGCAAATAAAGGTACGATCGCACTAGGCGACGCGACACGACACTTCACAGCGCGGCAAAATATTCTTTGCATGTATTCTTATGGAGCATACCGCACTTCGCTGCAGCGGAGCTACGCGATACGACGCTGCGCGGCAAAGTTGACCAACTAGGCAAAAATGTCGCGCCGTGTGGTGTCGCGCAGTTCCGGTGCTGCATAGTGCGGTATACCTAGCGGAACGATATAACATTTCGTACTATATTTTTACCTTGAAGTAATTGGATTTCCAATTGTGAGTGAATATTCACATGCATTTCATTCAAGAAGAAAATTGTAAAAGAAACATAATATTTGAGAAGAATTCGCCAAGGAAAATAACAATAAAAGGCATTAATATTACATCAGCGTCACTGGCATCCATCTTGTTTGAAGGTTTTGACACAAATAAATTAAAAAATTTGCAGCGAAGTGTCGCGCCGCTGCAGTTTCAGTGCGATATACCAAAAAGTGTCGCGCCGTGTCGCGTAGTGCCGCTGCAGTGTCGCGTCGCTTAGTGCGGTCTTACCTTAAGTATTGATTAGTGGTACTATTTGCAAATAAGCGCAAGACGCCGCCATTCTTAGGTTTATTTTCTTTTTCGATGGTCATCTTATTGCCTTTCTATAATCAAGACGTTGCCATTTTTAACTTTATTTTCTTTTTCGATGGTCATATAATTGTCTTTTTATAATCAGGCAGTATTAAAAAGAATTTTTAACCATCGAATAAACAGTGAGTTAGGTATTTGCAAATTATTTTTATTTGCAAATAGCTTACCCAGCAAACAATTTCATATAAAAATAAATGTTTTGTAACCGTTCAAATATAAGCAAAACACTTGTAAAACGCTGCTGTGACATTTGCAAAACGCATCAAAGCAAGCGCTTTATAATCGAAACGCGCCCATTGTTATAAGCTTTAAAATGACGATTGGAAAACATGTTTTTTAAGACACGTAATAACGCGTTTTGCAAATGTGTTAGGTAAACGTTTTATAATTAATTTGTATAATTTGTATTTGTAATTCTTTATTTGTATAATTAATTTGTGCTCCTGTGCACAACACTTCTCGGTTTTTTTGCTGCCGACATTATATAAAACAAAAAACGAACTTACTTTTTCACTTACTTTGTATCAGTAAAAATTCACTATTTTCACTTCTTTACTTTTCAGAAATCAAAACTTTTCAGAAATCAAAACTAGAATGAGTTATACAAATTTATTGTTTGATTACGCTGAAAAATAACAGTAAATCTAGTCGTCATTTATAAAACGGTTACCTTGCCAAGTAAAATCTAAACGACATTCGCAAAACACTTACAATACCAAATATTTTGTAAATGTCGAACTTACAACGCTTGTAAGAGCCTTATTCATGTAAGCTTATTTTAAGCTTGATTTGCAAAACGATTACCAAATTGTTTGTTGGGTACGTATGAACGTAGTAAATGTCGATGCCAGACATCCTGGATCTACACATGAACAACAGCACACTCAAAGAAATAATGTCAAAGAATACAGGAGAAAACACGTGGCTTTTAGGTAAAACCATAATGCATAAACTAATTAGTGCACCAATTAACAAATGTGTTTACTGCTTTAGGTGACGCTGGATTACCGTTGGAGACATTTCTTATGACTCCATTTCGAGCCGCAGAAAGCGGCAGCCCAGAATGCAGACACAATAAAGTGCATTGCAAAGCCAGGAAAATAATAGAGCGAACTTTTGGTATTTTGAAGTCGAAATTCAGATGCTTATCTTCCGAGCGTGGGCTTCATTACGCACCAGAGCAAGCGACTGTAATAATAAATTCATGTTGTGCCATTTATAACATTGGACGTCGCTATGATTCTCATTTTACAGACTGCGATACCGAAACTGATATTGCAGAGATGGAGGTAAGTTCTAATTTTGAAACAGGGAGACAAAATCTTGTAGCTCAAAAAATAAGATGTAATTTAATGAATTCTTTCACGGAATAAAACTTTATTACTTAAAAGGCAAAAAAATATCAACATTCAGTTAACTTCAGTTCTGTAGATTCATACATATCATCGTTTAAAGTACAAAACCGCGTATCGTCATTCTGCAAAACCGCGTAACTGACATTGGCTGCCAAAAATTGCATTTGCTCATACAGGCTCTTGGCTAAATTCTTATGCATTCGTGCTGAAGTATACTACCCAGAAATGCGATTGCTTTATAAAAAAGAGAACCATTTTGAAATATGAGTGATTTTTGCTCTAGAAAATAATTTCCACAACTTCAAATACGCGGTTTTGCATTTAGCTGATACGCGGTTTTGCATTTGGTTGAATCGCGGTTTTGCACTTTAAACGACGATATGCATATGTATGTATATTTATGTAAGTATATACTAGTATTGCAAAGAGCCTCGTTAAAGTAATTTAAATATTTTAAAATAAATTCATATTAAATTTTTCTTTCAATTCACTTGGAATCTCACCAAAGTAGAAAGTTGACAAAATAAAAAAGACACCTAAAAATCAAGATAAGAACTTAAAAACTATAATATTTTTATCGCATATTATTTAACTGATATGCTATGGGCTGAATTTTTTTCTTTTCAGTTCAGCTTCTAGCTTCATATTTTATTTTGCTATTTGAAATTTTTCTTTTTTCAATTCAAAGTTTTTTTCGGCATATTTACTCATTTTATAAGTATTTTTTCTATCCTTTTTAAAGTTTGTGCTACTTCAGTGTTATTTACAGTTTGCGACTCTAAGGCAGCCTGCACACGGTTTATATAGCTTTAGACGCGTATAAAGTTTTTTATGCAGCAACGATTCCTCTACGCCTCAAGATCTGCACACGAAGGAGCTTCAAAGCGTCAAAGTATCAGACAAAAAATGTTAAGTGATGTAAAATAATTATTTCTTTAATTAATTTTCAGTTATTTTTCTATTATTTGCACGAATTTTATTGTTTCATCGGTTTTTTTTAGAAATGCATACACGCACACGGAAAATTGTAAACAAACTTATTTTTCTTTCTCTTTTCTAAGCGTACGTACGCCTAGCTACCAACACTGCTGTATGCCAAGCGATTTGCAGCTAGCTTGCTCTGACGAATTCGTGAAGCTGACGACTCGTATACAGCCCTCCATTTAAATGCGTATGCGGCATCAAAGCGTACAACTTTCGTATGTAGCATCTAATACGCGCCTAAAGCTATACGACCCGTGTGCAGTCTGCCTAACTACTACTACTTTACTATCTTCCGTACTTTCCTTTGTTATATTTTTTATGCTCATACTTGTATTTGCGTTTGTTGAAAGGTTTGGCGAGGAGCTGCATGTAGACTCAACATTTTCTTCATCTTCATCTATTGCCACTGCTCCAAATCTATTACCAGAAGAGCTGTAGCAAACCGTATGTATTCGTTACTGAGTAACGAATACAACCCCTGACTCGAAGTACCGAATCGTTACTCGCATGTTCCGTATATGCACCATCATCGTGAATCAATACAACACAACATATTGTGCGGTAACGAAACTATTTTTCGTATCGATACTAAAATGTGTTGCGTGTGTATGTAAGTAAGATTTAACCACTTAGTTTTGATTAAGATTCTTTATTTCCCTT